CTCTTTACTCGTATTCTTGTGAATTGACAAACAGTCCATGTTTTTGTCCTGCTGTTGGTCTGAAGTGGTGATTTAAATGTTGTCAGGTTGATCTGCCTCCTTCTCCCTCATTGGTCGATCCACCTTGTGACCACGGGCAGGGAAACAGGCCCTCAGCATGATGCTGCCACCACCATGCTGGACAGTTGCTCCAGTGGTTTTATCTTGAGGAGCCTCCTGACCGCTGCTCTTTAATCTTCGACCATCAGACTTTTCTCCAGAAGCCATCCAGCTGCAGGTCCGGTCCAGTTGGGAGGTCGTTTGGATCAGGAGCTTTTTCCTTGGTTCCAATCAGACAGTGGGACTGGGTTCAAATGTGTTCTGGTTCTAACCTTTGTTGGAAACAGAACCAAAAGCAGCTCTGACCCAAGATGAGAAGTTCTGATCTCACAATGAGCGGTTCTGATCCCATGGTGAGAGGTTCTGATCCAGGATGAGCGGTTCTGACCCAAGATGAGAGGTTCTAATCCAGTATGAGCTGTTCTGATCTCACAATGAGAGGTTCTGATCAGGTATGACTGGTTCTGATCCCATGGTGAGAGGTTCTGATCCAGGATGAGNTATAAATTAATAGGAGCAAGCGTGTGGAAATGAATGCTTAATTTAATGAAGTATTAAATAAAATCCCCATCAGCATCCAGCATTTGTTCAGTTTCTGCCCAAATGTTTTCTTTCTCTTAGGATTTTCCTAACAGGGTATATTAGTATCATACTAAATCGTTTTTATGAGCTAGTTTGTTCATCTCAGCATCTCTTCATCCATGAACAGATCATTGAAGTCTTGATGTTGTCAGATGCGTTTTTGGAAGTTTTACTGGATTTGATTAAACTTTTAAGCCTTTCAGTATAAAATAAATATGTTGATGGAGATGAGAGATCTGCTTCCTGCTGTGTTGAAGAACCAACATAATTTGCATCCAGTCATTTAGGAATATATAAGAATTATCCTCTAATTAGTATTTAACGATCCATCTGGAGCCTGGCATCTGTCAAAAAAAATGTATTTACATTTTTATTTCAATTCTAACTTATTTTATTTTCATTCTATTTTATTGCATTGTGTTTATGTGTCTTTAACTGTCGTTAAGTTTGAGTTGAGTTGCTATTATGTCACATTTTATCGCTGATCTAAAGTAGCAGAAAGTAGAAAACAATCATTGTCAGTCTGGAAGGAAAGTCCTGCTCTAAGACAGACTGAGTTCTGCTATTTAACAAGGAGACACTAAAAGTCTCAGTTTATTTTTATTGTTTTTACTTAGATCTGAGGGCAGAAGGACAAATTTAACATCTTAAAAATGACTTTTTATTGAGATTTTAGATAAATAAAACAGTTATTCTACTTGTAGAAAACAAACGGTTGTTGTTGACATTAACTTCCAGGTTAGCACTCAGAGTATTCATTGAAAAGTTCTCTGTTACCGTTGTTCAATAAAAGTACGTTTTAAGATCATTTGAGGCGAGAACATTACACTTTAAGCGTCACTATATGGAACATTTACTGATTTAGTGCGTTATTAAAAAAAAGTTCCAATGTTGAGAGGGCCGCGGCAACCTGCTCTGAGGCTAACAGCAGCCAGGCTAACGTTATCCAGTCTGCAGCAGCTAGGGCTAACGTTATCCCGTCTGCAGCAGCCAGGGCTAACGTTATCCAGTCTGCAGCAGCTAGTGCTAACGTTATCCCATCTGTAGCAGCCGGGGCTAACGTTAGCCTGTCTGCAGCAGCCAGGGCTAACGTTAGCAACAGCCAGGGCTAATGTTAGCAGCAGCCAGGGCTAACGTTAGCAGCAGCCAGGGCTAACGTTAGCAGCAGCCGGGGCTAACGTTAGCCTGCCTGCAGCAGCCAGGTCTAACGTTAGCAGCAGCCAGGGCTAACGTTAGCAGCAGCCAGGGCTAACGTTAGCAGCAGCCAGGGCTAACGTTAGCAGCAGCTGGGGCTAACGTTAGCCCATCTGCAGCAGCCAGGGCTAACTTTAGCAGAAGCTAGGGCTAATGTAAGCAGCAGCCAGGGCTAACGTTAGCAGCAGCAAGGGTTAACGTTAGCCCGTCCGCCGCAGCCGGGGCTAACGTTAGCCCGTTTGCAGCAGCCAGGGCTAACGTTAGCAGCAGCAAGGGTTAACGTTAGCCCGTCCGCCGCAGCCGGGGCTAACGTTAGCCCGTTTGCAGCAGCCAGGGCTAATGTTAGCAGCAGCCAGGGCTAACGTTAGCCCGTCTGCAGCAGCCAGGGCTAACGTTAGCAGCAGCCAGGGTTAACGTTAGCCCGTCCGC